TCCACTTTTTCCACACCACACATAATTTTATATATCTTTATTGATTCCTCCTTATTTATCTTTTGCTAAGCTAAAAAGACCCATACATTTTGTAACATTCTGTTGTCAATAAGTTGTTTCTGCATTCTGTTCATTATGGTTGACTCCCGCCCCCCTGCAGCTGCCTCTGCACCTTGCCCAGCTCTATAGTATCTGAGATGTAATGGCCAGAACTGCATGCCACAAATTTGTATAGTGCCATTATGATATTGACAGTTTCCCTTTACCTAATAATCCCTAAGATGGATTTTGCCTTTTTCACAGCTGCCACACACTAGGTCGGCATTTTTATTGAGCTACCCTCCATGACCCCAAGATCTCTTTCCTGGTTAGTCACTGCTAGCTCCATCAGTAACTGTGTAGAATTTGTTTAGGTTTTTAGGCCCCACAGCGAACCACTCCACAGTTACTTACATTGAACTGAATTTGCCACTTAGTTGCATATTTGGAAATGATCTCTTTGGAGCAGTCATTGTTGGCTTTCACAACCACAAATTGATTTCTTACTGAGAAGGCTGAGATTAACCAGGCAGAGGGCCTTCTCAATAGTGGCACCCTCCCTGTGGAGCACCCTCTCTTCAGTCGTCAAGGAGAGAAAGAATTACACAACTTTTAGAAGACATCTGAAGGCAGCCCTGTATTGGTAGCAGAGACAATGTTCCCTGAGAATGAGCCAGACACTCCACAGGTCAGGGACCTGAAGGAGTAGGAAAGCCCCTTGGATCCAATGCTGAGGAGACTCATGAGGGACAATCCAGGTTGATTCCTGATGGAAACCCCAAGAATTGTCAGAGAAGTGGACCACCCCACTCGCAGTCCTCAAGAGCACCAAAAACTTCACATTCAAGCTTAAGGATGATGATACAGTGTGCATCTACAGACCCAGACATTGTGCTACTCTGGATCAACTCATGATTGAATAATCCCTGATACTCCTTCACTGCCTGTAGCTGTGGTTAGCATGTGGTTTAGGGGGCCATGTAAAACTTCCCTCTTGAGCTTTCCATTTGCTGGAAAACACAGGGATCTGCCTCCTTGCTGGCTCTAGTTCTGCCTCTTTGCTGTGTTGTACCTTATGGGATGCCCTGTGATACTGAACATGGACTGTTTCCTGACTTTGATTCTGGGTCATATTTGAACCTATGCCGATACTCTATGTTTGACCTTGGTTTGTTTGGACTTCATTGCACCAAAATCCCCACCTTCATGGTAAGTACTTTGGTGAAACACTTATACCTACTGGGACTAGAAGGTTCCCACTAGAATGTGACAGCTTTCAGACTCCTTTATTGAAGAAGGAGTTAGAGGAAATTAAACTCCTGTGCAGGAAATGACATTTCTGAACATTCTCAGATTATCCACATCTCGAGAATATGTCCTGCAATGCTCTCCTGTAGCTGGAGGGCCTTCCCTTTTACAATTTTAACCCCTTCTCACAAGGGTTAATGAAAACAGCAGGCAAACATTCAGCAATTAGAAATAGAGAAATATTTGTGGGCATCCAGCAGCCTGAATAAAAGCAGGCATGAAAAGCTGATGCCTAGAAAGGGACTGCCTTCAAATGCCTCCCAAAGAAAAAGCAGCACTTTCGGGTGATCTTTTGAGGAATCTAAGTCAGAGCCCCAGAAGCTCTTTTCTCTTTGAAGCAGCAAAAGGAGCAGCGACCTGGAATATGTTTCTTTTATTCTCAAAAGGCTTTCTGCATTGTGTGCTCCTCCTCACCCTTGTCCTCCTTCTCCCCATTCTGTTTGCTCCACACCTTCTTGTCCAGAACAGCCCAACCATTGAGTCCTGGGTTGCCCCCCCCTCCTAAAATACCTGCTTTTCCTGGCTCCTTTTACCCATTGAGGCAGATGGCACCACCCTCAAAAATGTACCTTTTATCCAGGCCTCAGGTGAGAACATAGTAACTGACATTCCCAAAGCTCTTTCTCTTTTTGCTTCTGTGCTACTGCTTCTCCTTGCCTCCCTGCAGAGTTGCTCTTCCTCCCCCACCAACAGCTTGTTATGTGGTGAGAGGCTGGGGAGGGTGTAGAACTCTGGAAACAATTTCATGGAGTGAGAGCTGCACTTAACTTAGTATTATTTGATTGCATTTACCTTATTAACTGAATGAGGGTGTGTGTGAAGGAGGTATCATTTTTCACTTCTAGCCTTTTAAAAAACCCAACATGTACTTGCACATCTATGGGGGTCTTAGCATACAGGCTTCCCACCTGGCAGCAATTCCTGGGATGCTCATGTGACTATGCAATGTGCCATGGCCACATGGGCATTTCCCAAAGTGCTGCTGGACTGGAAGCCTGTTTGTGAAAACCTCTGTGATGCTTCAAGTACATGGAGGGCATTTAAAAGGTATGTGAACTGCAAAAAATAAAAAAGACCCCCCCCATGCCCACCTCTTCAGTTAATAGAGCAAGTAAGCACAACAACCCTCTGCCCCATGACTTTTCTTCCCAAGCTTTACTTTCCTTCCCTCTTTGGACATACCTTCAATGCAAATCCCCTCTCCCCATTCTCACAGATGGCTGAAGAAAGTGGGCCATAAAGGTTTGGAACAGCACAATTTCCTGTACAATAAATGTTCCAACCAAATGAAAGATTCTTGAATTTCCTGCAACTATGGATGAGTGCACAATAAACACTGGCCTGGAAGGACTCTAATAGACTTCTGTTGTCATGATCTCTTCTCTTTCTTCTGTCTTTGTTCTTTGCTGTCTGCATCTTTATTCGCAGAAAGCAGCAGGCTTTAGCTGCATGTGAATGGAAGTTAATGACAACCTCCATTCTTGTTTCTTGTCCTTGATATAATTAGATGACTAAGATGGTTAAGGTAAATGAGCTGGCTCCTCTAGGAAGCTGGCCTTGACTGACTGTTCCAGAGGCTGCTCCTGCTGCTCAAGATGCCAAAAGCCCATTAGGGTGGGGTATAGTTTAAGGCAGAGGTTGGGAACCTCAGATCCAAGTGGAAAATGTGACCCTCCAGGCCTCTTTGTCTGAGTTTTGGAACTCTCCCAGGCCACACCATTCTTCCTTGAACTTTAATAATGCCTCTTGCTTGTCTAGAGGGAAGACAGACAGGCATGAACAGTACACCTACTATACAAGGTGTAAAAAATCACATCCATTGCTCTGTCCATTTTTGGCTCTGCACCTAACACTGATATGTGGCCCCCAAAAGGCTGTACAAAAGAAAACATGATCCTCAAACTTCAGATCTTTTGGACTATAACTCCCATCACCATTAGTTACAGGCCTTGCAGATTGTAGTTCACAGCATCTGGAGGCTACCGCACTGACCACTCCTGTCTTACTGGGTCAGGCTAGGAAATGTGGCTGGTGGGAAACTCTAGAGCGGGACTCTTGCCATATCCTGCCAACAGAAATTCCAGGAATGTAATGGGAATACAAATAGCAAGAAATTCAATTCAGTTTGCAGACAAACCTACACAATTCATACATTATGAAACAGTTTACAGACCATCTTTCCAAAATAATGTTTCTTCAAATCTTACAATGTGATTCTCCAACAATTGACATGTGCAAAAGTGTATATATACTTGGGTAAAGTGTTCAGGGGGTGGGATGTATATATTGGGGAAAAGAACACACAACTTCCTTTATATTAGGAGAAATATCTTGGCAAAAATTAGTATGCTAGGCAAAAATGTAAACAAAAACATGAATTTTAAGAGAAATTTGCACTAAAATTATATTGAATTTTCATGAGGTCTTTTTAAAAGGAATTTTAAATAGGAACTGATGAAGAGAACGGAAGACTGGAAAAACGAGAAACACTGTGAAACCAGAATTGTCCATTTCAGCCATCTCTACTTTGGAGTGACATGTGTTGGGATGTGACCTCACTCCAGAGAGGTCAGACCCCAGGAAACCATGAAGAACATCTTGCACCACTGTAAGAAGTTTGACTGTTTCCTTAAACCACAAGATAGGATACTATACTATATCAACACTACCCCAATAACCCATTTCTTAAGGGGGTAGCCCATAATAGCTGCAATTGCTCCACTTGGTTAGAGCATAGTGCTGGTAAGGTTGCAGATTCGACCCCTGTATGAGACAGCTGCACAGTTCTGCATAGCAGGGGGTTGGGTTAGATGATCCTCAGGGTCGCTTCCAACTCTACAATTCCATAGTTCCTCTGCCTGATTCTATGATTCTATGCTTTTGGAGTTTGAGCAAACAAAGGAAGTTAAACCGGATCCTGCGTAAACACTGCGGAAAGATCCTGCCCTTTGTGAACATTTTCCCTTCTGCTTCCCTTAGATGGTGCTAATGGGGTACAAAACACATAAAACTTCTGGATTTCTTTTAAGACACAAGGAGAGACCTCATTTTGTTATTCTGAGTTTCTTGAACATTACATTTCTCTTCTTTTAGCTCTTTATTTATTTATTTATTTATTTCTCCTTTCCTTTCCCTTTTAAACAAAAACAAAAACCTTCAGTGCTTTAATGTAAAGTGCCTTCCTGCTGAAATAATGCATACCAGTGCAAATATATGTGTGATTTTAGTATTTCTCAGGCACTGCTTTCTTTTTTGTGAGTAATCTGCTTTCGCTCCTCGATGTTAAAACATTCTTATGCTGCATACAGTTTCATAAGAACATGAGGCCAAAGACCCATCTGGTCCAGCATCGTCTTCTCACAGTGGCCAGCCAGATGCCTTTGGGAAACCCACAAGCAGGATGGAAGCACAAAAGCACTCTCCCCTCCTGTGGCTTCCTGCAACTGGTATTCAGAAACATTGCTGCCTTGAACAGTGGAGGCAGAGCATCGCCATCATGGCAAGGAGCCATTGAAAGCCTTATCCTCCATGAATTTACCAATCCACTTTTGAAGCCACGTAGCTTGATGGCCTTCACCACCTCATGTGAAATGAATTTCTCCAGCACCCCTAGCAGTGAGCCACATAGAGATCAATATTACTGAGTGGTTTTATAGAAAAATATCCTTGACCAAAGAACAGTGCACTCCTTTGATCTGAGGTGGTTGTTCTCTTCCACCAAGCACACCACTTCTGGGTGGAATAAACATGGTACAAGGAGGAAGGTAGAGGAATCTCACCTAGCCAGCCAGATCAGCTGGCTCAACCCTGGCGATCTGCAGGGTGACAAACAGATCAATGGGATGACACATGCTGTAGACAGATCATCCTAATGGACCATACAAATGAATTAATTGTGTGTGTGTGTGTGTGTGTGTGTGTGTGTGTGTGTAGAAAATATGCATATATATATTTTTTACATATTTTTACATACATTCTGGAGCTGCAGTAAAGTAATGTGATTTTGGCAAAATATATTTGATAAAGTACAGGAAATGACTGGTTATCATTCTCCTAGGAATTCTAAAACAATTCTTCTTGGGATGCTCTGATGTGAGGTCATCAGTGTTGATCCTCAACTGTTGATCCTCAACTGACCTTGTTGACAACAGCAAATGTGAAAATAAAAAAATCCTCCAAGTGTAGCAGACTGGTTGGAAACAACACATGGGAATCTGTTGTGAAGATAAAGCAGACATATAACAGGAAAACTCTATATTATCATTAAAACAAATTCTTCTAATTTAATCACTGCAATTTAACTTTCTACAAAATTGTTCTTTTTTGAAATTATCTACCCCCTCTCCTTTATTACCTTTCTACTTGCAATCTTCTGCATTCAATCAGTATTATGCTTTCTACTGCATATTAATATGTTACAATCAACAACAATTATGCAAAATATCAGTATGAGGTAGCTTAATTGGGAGTGGTTTTTATTGCTAGGTTTTTAATACTAGGTTTGAGGAAAAAATAGTATCCCAAATTCTGCTTGCTATTTGTGCATGATGAAATGGAGGTGTGGATATTTTTTGAGTTAAGAGACAACCTAACCTTCTTCCCCAAACACACATTCCAGAAACAACTGATTCTGATAAATTTTCCCTCATTTTCTTGAATAAAACTCTACTGTAACTCCATATTAGTGGATGATAAAGGTCATGAACTAAGAGAGGAAAATGGAAAGGAATAGGGGCCAAGTCCCTTGTTTCCTTTAACAAGATTGAAAACAATATTAAACTGGATTCACAGTTGCACCAAAAATTCACAAATGGTAAAATATTCTCCAGGGTAGAACTGAAATTCATTCAAGTAGAGCTCAAAATGATTTTAAAAAGTCAGATAATCCCCCTTTGGGAATTTCAGCATATGGAGAAAAATATCCAGCCTGCAAGGCAGAAAAAGAATTGTGGAAGGGCTGTACCTCAGTGTTAGGGCAATTGGTCTGTATACAAAAGATCCCAGGTTAAATCCCTAGCATCTCCAGGCAAGGCTTGCAAAGTCCTCTGTTTGAAACCCCATAATGCAGCTACTAGCTAGTGTAGATCATACTGAAATAGATGGGTCAATGGTCTGACTCAGTATGAGGTAGCTTAATTGAGAGTGGGGGGTTGTAGCTCAGTAGTAGAGCATTTTATTTGCACACAGAAGGTCCCAGGTTCAGTTCTCAACAGCTCCACGTAGGGATGGGAAAAAGCTCCCTGTCTGAAACTCTGGAGAGGCCGCTGCCAGGTAGGCAATACTGAAATAGATAGGCTAGTGGTCTTAGATGTTATAAGGCATCCCATGTTCCTAATAATATGTAGTCCCAAATATGACATGATCACAACCTCTTTTGTCATATGTTATGCCTGGGAAACATCAGAACTTCAGAACTATATATATATAATTTATGGTTTGCTGTTACATTAAATAGCACAAATCAAAGTTAAGTAGGAGGAAACCCACATAACAGATAAATATTGTTCAATCTCTAACAAAAATATTTGAGAAAACTGCTATGCCATTTTAAATATGCATACTTTCAGTGTTACTGTCTAGCAAATACAAGGGCCAAATTTATGATTACGATTGTATGTAGCATCTTCAGAAGATGCCCATTTTTATTATGCAGGTCAAGTTGTAGTATTTCCCTGAACTCATTTCCATGTGGATGGTTTCTTTAAAACACTTGCCCTCCCTGTGCCTTTGTGTATTCTAGCAGTATGATTAGTATTTCACTTTGATAATCCTTTTAATAAACATAGATTATCCCCAAAGTGAGAGAGTTCTTGATTTCCAGTGCTTGTCAAAAGCCTCCTTAATTCGTTTGCAGCCTTCTATATGACCCCCTCCTGACCATCTACTCATGTTCATTGTTGATTTTTACTGACAGATTCCAAGGCAGTCACTGCTTGACACTTTGTTTCATCCATTCCCAAAGACCCTTGCATAAAGTTTTGGGATGCTTTGAAATCAGGGAAGGTTTATGCCAATCAGACATAGCCTGCACTTTAAAAAAATGCCTCATGTGAAAAAAGGTGGAAGTGTAGTCTTGATTATGGGGCCTCTCTGATTGCTCTTCACTTCTCTAAAAAGCCCACATTTTTGTACCACTGCAACCTCCTATGGTTCACTCTGACTTTATAAGTACCGTACATTTATTTTGTCCCCGCTCCCAAGAAAATAGAGGTTTATTTTTTGCTTTTCATGGTCAAATCCATTGTTCATCTTTGCCTCTATTGTGTTGAAGCACCAATTTCCTCTGAAGAGAACAGCTAGATTGAATAGCTAAATACTGGAACTCTATTTAATTTTTATAATAATTCATCTGAGTAAGATTTCAGAGCGGCCACTGCATTAGTCAATACAGGAATGTAGGAAGGAGTCAGAGCATTGATCCATATAGTTCAGCACTGTCTGTGTTAAGAGGCATGTGAGTTGAGTGGTTAATGTGCATAACAACCAGCCTCTGTGCACATTCATCAGGTCGCATGCAGAATGTGCACACAATTCTTCTATGAAGAGGAAGTTGTTCACATTTCCTGGCCAATAAACATAATCCCCAAAGGGCCTTGGGGAGCATACCCCTCACCCCCCCCGAGTTTGCATAGGGGAATCATTTATTTCAGTTCACATTTTAATATGAATTTATTTTAATTAATTAATTTTAATTTATTTTAACCTAAAACAGTATGTGAAATAAGATGCTGCTATGCTGCAAAATTTGCACTATGCTGAATTTTGTCACACAGATCTCCAACCCAAAAACATGAATGTGTTTGTTGGTGGGGAGTGAGTATAAAAATTCATATACTAATGAAAGCAACATATAACATACTTAATAACATGAGAAATTGCTTGCAAAAAAATGTTTATTTTAGGAGACATGCACACTGACTTTTTCATTAGACTTTTTCAAACAGAAGGAGAAAGCAAACTAATAATAATAATAATAATAATAATAATTTTTTATTTATATCCCACCCTCCCCAGCCGAAGCCGGGCTCAGGGCAGCTAAAAGCAATAAATGATGTGGAATTGTGCCAAACTGAACTTACCAATGGAAAAATTAGAAACCGAAATTGAAACATTTGTCCATTCTTCACACACACACACACACACACACACACGTAAACAGTGGAGGCAAATGGCAATGAAATGCAAACTATACAGTCAGTAACAATTCAATTAAAGTGTAAATGTATGGAAAATAAGCACTGTCTCTATCCACAGCTGTAATTGGTGATAATACAATTGTCCTAGAACTGATAAGTTAATTAATAGCTGTAGCAGGACAGAAAAACATTCAGCGTATTCATGTCCAAACGGATCATGGTGTCTGTCTTTAAAAGCCACTTCATAAAATTATCTCCTTCTCTGCTTCTGCCCATATGCTTTTATAAATCCTCCATCTTCTCTGTCTCTTGCAGGCAACTTGATTTGTAATGTGATACAGCAATAAATTATGTGCATCTCAGTCCCATGCATGTTAACTCTGAGGTCAGTTAAGCATGGCTTACTAGCAAGTAAGCATGCACAGGATGGCAGTGTTAGTTGAAGTATCTTACTTTGTCCAGGCTGAGACTCCCTTCTGTACAAGGTTCTGAGCTTCATCCCCCGCCCCTTGCCCAACTTATGGTATTCCAGAATTTCATGCTAGGAAAAGCAAATGTATTAGCAGTAATGGCCTGGAAGGGGAGGCTGATCAACAAATTAGGAGGCTCACTACCATCCTTTAAGCCCTCTAGATTCCTGCTGACCTGACCTAGCTATAAATATTTCCAGCTATTTGTCTGGCTGTTGCATATGGGCAGAAGAGTAATATTATTTGTGGAGTTGTGCACACCATGGCTTCTCAAAATTCCCCACCTTACTTGGTGGCACAGAAATTGAGAAAACTACTTTACCCCCCCCCCCAAGTGAGGTGGGGAGGAAAGAAAGAAATATCAGCTAACTGGTGCAAACACCCTGCATGCTTTCAATGTGTGATAGGGGTTGTGTACAATGCACGACAAGATATATCACCCAGTGCCAATTCTGTGCACTGTTGGTCATTCAGCACTTATGCACCATCATGGTGTTGCCTCAGCTGACCCAAGAAACATCTACCGGCAATACTATGCTGTACTCAGTGCTCAGTCATTAGAAAATCAGTATTAAGATAAAAAGAATGGAAGAGTAAGACAACTCTCTCTACCTGGCCTTCAATTCACCCCAGGCCATACACTCTCTCCTGGCCACATCATTCACTATCATTGCTTCAGAACCCAAGTATTTTCTCCAAGTTGGAAGGTGTCCTTGAACTATGATAACACCTCTTGTGGTCCCAGGCATGGTGTGCCATGGGTTGTTGGTGTTGGGTGTTGGCAAGGAGGAGGTCTGCCAACTTTAATAAAATACTGGGGGAGGGGCAGGTAAGCCCCATCCTGTATAAATCAATCCCATGACATGTTGCAAGCACACCATTTTAATGGCAATGCCCATCAACTTAGGGCCTCCCGTCAAATATTTTATGGGGGGGGTCAAAGCCCCCTCAGTCCCTAGGAGTTGGCTCCTATGGCAAGAAGTAATATTGACAAGACAATATATTGGGATCAAATTGACCACAGCTTTATTGATTACAGATGTCAGTAGGTTTTGGCATAGACACTGGGCATGTATCCTGAATCAGTTAACCAATTTGCTGGCTGATTATTCCATCAGGTTTAATACTGGATGCATCAATGACATGCATCAATTCCGGGCAATCCCTCCAGGACACCACTTCTATGGCCAGTTAGCCTCATCTGGGCATTCAAACAGAAACCTTTCCCCTAGAC